CGAACACACAGACACACACACACACACACAGACAACCTCTCGTCAATATGCGTTTTCTGCATAGCGTAGCTGCAAAAAACGCATAAAAAACATAAGGTACAGGAAATAACTTACCAACGGACATAAATGTGACCTGCAATTAGATTTTATGTGAATGCAAATATTCAAAGCCAACAAATACACTTTTTTATGTCAAGCCAAATGCAAGTGGCAGGAAGGGTAGTAATATAATTAGGAATTTCCTAGGGCTGACACTGGTATGTATAGAAAGAAAGAACGAGATGGCTAAAGTTTCAATAGTTGTTTTGAAATACATTAAAAATACTCCGCAATTGTAAAGACGTCCCAACGAATTAAATAATGAATGAAGAAACTAAAGAAAAGCTTATATCTTCGCAAAAAAGAGGTAATGCAAGTGAAGCGATTTGTTGAGAAATGCTCATCCTTCTATCTTTTTGTTTTGAAAAATCAAGGTAAGCTACTGGCGTTCTCAGTAATGCCTTATCGAATAATTCGCAATGTTTACCTTCAGTGACTCAGTAAATCCTTGCACTTTCTTGCACGATTAAGCTCTGCTACACTGCAGGGCAATCAGTCTCTATCGCAATGACTGGCTTGACTATCGATGTGGAGTCTTTAAGATTAGCGAGAAACTGTGAAACGTCAGTTCGGCTACATGTGCTCTTAGTTATATGTATTATATTGGCAATATTTACTGTAATATTGACTTCACCACCCAACAAAAGCAAACGTTTTTTCTCTAGCCAAAATAACATTTATTGATATGTGACGTCCGATTCATCAACCAAAGCACACAGCGCTTCTCTTTCTTTCGCACAAATTTACATCGAAAAACAAAATAACGAACCATAATAAACCACAGCGAATTTAGATAGTAGTGTTCGGCTGGTAGCTGTCCATCGTACCTGCAAAAACAATGCAAGTACATAGGCCGGCTAATTTACCAACTGTTAAATGAAAAGCAAAGCAAATTTGGATACTATGTGATTTAGCAGCATTCAGAACTGACAGTGTCCTTATAAACTTTAAGGGTCAAAGTCGGTTTGGGCGTAATGGACTGCATCCCCTGGCGGTACTACCACTTTAATTTTATTTCCGGATATTAGAAGCAACGACTTATCCTTTTACTTTAAAATGTTTCAAGGTAAACAATCCTTCTAACATCGACGCTTTCAAAAGACGGCAGCCTGCCATGGTGGAAACAACAAATCAGCAACCGCAGAAAGAACAAATAAAAAATAGCCATAACTTAATGAAATCAGTAAAAAAAAAGCAGAAATTAACCAAAGCGGCGCAAAATTTAGTGCAAGGGCCAAGCAACACAAAATCCAGCTTAACTGAGACATTTCAGTGGAAAAGACACGAAATTAAACAAAAATATGTTAAGGAAGAAAAGCAGTTCTAAATAATTAGCGCTAACGTAGCATTCAAATAAATAAGGTAACCGAGGCTGCAACGCATCAAGCTTGCCGGTACGTTTTTGCGCTAAACTTGAAGCAATCAGGTCGTTAAAAGTATGAGTGGTTGCTGCTTTAAATTTACTAGCAGACACATCATTGTAAGTCACCGTAAATTTTGCATAAAGGAAAATGACAAATTTCCATTGACCAGTTATTCACGTAAAACACGTCCGTGAAATATGGTATAGCGTTCCTCGAGAGGCCCTTGACTAGGGAACCTGCTGGTAAAATTTCAGTCTCGAAGCTTGCTTGGTCATCGAATTGAAACATCCGGGCAGGCGCACACACGTGCACATCATGCGTCGTCACAATATGCATCTTTGCATTTGCATATAAGCAACCTCAAGCTGGAACGCACAGGCTTGCTGGTGCGATTATGCGTTTTCGGGCTTAAACTTGCAGCTATCAGTTGGTTTAACAGCATGATTGGTTCTTGTGTTACAGTTTAATACGTGGGCATATGTTGGCTGTGTTTTAACGTTTTCATGCACTTAATTTGCATCATGGAGTAGAGTGAACCTACAGCACAGGTGGGCAACCGATGGTCCGCGACTGATTTTAATCCGGCCTGCGGAGGGAATCAAAATGTGGTGCCTAACTAGACGAACGGGAGGTTTACATTGTGCCACACCACTGCACTCTCACAAAAAAATAAATAGCGGCAAGCACCAGAGCAGCTGATGTGATCATGCTTTTTGCGCAGTTCTGTCTAGCGAGCATTTGCCTGCTAAGAATTTTCTCTACTTTTTCTTTGTTCTGTACAAAAACAGTTTAAATGTTGTCTGGTCCCTAAGTTGCTAAATTTCTCGCGAAAAATTTCACTCCGGAACGTGAAAACTGAAATTGAAACTTTTGAGGGTAAACGGGTTTTCATCCAGAATTTCATCTTTCTAATTTTATCGCTTTCGAGTAATTTTCGCGCCAAAATTCTTATGTGGCCGTACCTCAGCATACTCGGAAACTGAACTGGAGTTTATGAGCCCCTGCATAGGCAGAAAACATCGTTCCGAAATTTTCAACCTCTTAGCTTTTATGGTTCCCGGGATAATAATGTCCCCGTCAAAATTTTCACGAGTTTGTGCTCGATACCCGAGTGGGCGGGAAGGCTGATTTTAAATTTGCGAAGTCATATTTAGGCAGGAATCACTACCCTAAAGATTTGGCTTCCTAGCCTTCATGGTTTCCGAGATAATAATTTTCCGTGTCGAAACTTTCGTGGGATCGTATGCAGTACTAAACGTAGGAGAAGGCAATGTTTGAGGTTGTGGGGACATTACCAAAAAATTTCAGCTCCCTAGCTTTTATGGTTCCCGATATATTTCCTCCACCAAAATTTTCATTGGGCTGTATGATACCGTAGGAGTTTGTACTTTCTGTTCACAAACTGAGACTAGTGGATTTAGCAAGCGAATTAATTCTGCATTTACGTCCTCACGAAAAGCCAAAACACTCAACATTCATTAACCTTCAACCATTGCAATGAAAAGCAGTCTTGATGTCGCGAGTTTAGAAAACTACGTTCAGTCGTGAGCCTGAATCTCGAAGTAGCTGCTAGAGTCTTTTGTCACAAGAAGTGGTCCACATTACGCCTAGATTGTGACTTAGTTAAGACATAAATAACCTTCTCCGTCGCCCTGTTTGGTGCTTATTGTTGTAGAGAAATAATAGAAGCTATCACCGAAGAGCGATTTAAAAAGACTTTTTATGAAAATATCATCAGATATTAAAAATAGCCATGTTGAGGAAAATATCGTCTTTTCTTGGCATTTTTTTTTTTTTTTTGTCTAAATAAAAGCTCGAATATCCGCGTTTGAGACCTCTAATCTTCAATGACTTGTCAACAGGAGTGAACTCGAGTTTTTGCAGCTCTTTGGACGCCTATATTGTTGTTTGCAAGCGTTTTGTTATTGTTATACTGCGAGCATCTTGAAACATTTTGTTGCAATAGTGATCGGATAATTCCTCCATGCAGTGCGTCAAAGTGAATAAATCATTGTCTTTTGCAACATTCTTTTTCGATCTGGTTCTCACAAATCCACTACACTTTCACACTCATACAAACATTATGTAAACCATACACATGAGGTCTTCTCTCACATGATGTTTTATTCTTGCTCGAAGCTATAAGGTTACAAATTTCCAAAACATGAAAGCCATCTGATATTTTTATGAGAGTAAAAATGTGTGCGATAAAATTATCGTCGCATGTGTAGTTCTGGTACCCCAACCCAGCACTAAAAAAGTTTATAAAACTAAGTTTTTCAAATATACTTTCTGCTTTTCATCTAATACCTCGTTTAATAATCTTGACTAACTTCTGCACGTAATGTTCCAGTCACAAAAAATTTTGCAAGAAAATATAACTTTGCAGACTCTTTGGTACAAAAAGAGATTTCTCACTTACGAAAATCGCCTCAGGAAAATTGGAGATTCTCCTTGCATAGCTAGGTGCCAAGCCTAGTTATGCAAGTTTCATTTTCTTCATGTTACTTCTTTAATCATAATTATGCTGATTTCAAAAGTTATGGGTACCTTTCACACTGTGTAAACATCCAGGACATACATATCCAGAAGGATACGGTGAATACGACAAGTACTCTAAGCGGATGGTCAGCCATCATCGTTTTGATCACAAATCGAAAATCCATCGATATCCGATTTAATGCTGCGATTGAACGTGTTGCTGCATCCTGTAATAGTGCACCAAAAAAAAATTAAATGGTTAACAAGGCTCAGTTTTGTTGGTATTCGAATTATTTTTAGAAAATACAAAATCCTTAAAAACAGATTCATATAAGTGGAGATATATTGGATTCGTCCCCCAATACTCTCTGGACTATTCGCATTCACTTCTCAACACGACTTGTGATACAGCCATGCGTCAGACGAGGTTATGCTGACTTTTTCATAACAAAGTATCTGTCTTTAGCTGCTAGTAGCTAGTTCTTGAGCACAACTTCTTTCTTCGTCGTGATCACCGCACAATTGGATGGAGTATTTATTTTCTATAATCATGGAGGATTATTTCTATCGCACTTCACTCCGTCGTTGATTTTGCGGCGTCCGCAGCCTTTACCTCGGCTTTTATCGGCGGCCAGCAACAGAAATGACACGAGAAGTATTAAATTTTTGAAATGATATTAAAAAAAAGTGAAAATTTACTTGAAACTGTTTGCTGTGCAAGACCATAAATCTACAGAGGAGGTATGCTCGGAGGAACATTGGCACAGACAGAATAACATCAACAGGTACATCAACCATTGTAATTTTCCTGCTGTCTGGATGAATATAAGGCCATTGCATCACGCCCGTACCTAATAATATCACTTCATTTAAAATCCAGATTAATCGAAATATCGGCGTAATTAGGGTCCTTTCTGTAATCCAAAAAGGGCCACATATCAGTGCAACTATGTCAAATTTTTGTTCTACACGGCTTATCTCTAGGTGGACTCATTCACTTTTGCCTTCTGCAAGCTTTCATTTTTATGCGTTTTTGCTGTGCTATAGCGCCGCTACAGCACAGCAAAAACGCATATTGTTGAGGGGTCATTCGTGTGGGTGTTCAGAAGCGAGTGAACTTTGTCACCCACTTTCATATCAGCAATCAGGAAAACTGGGAGGCTGAAATTTTGGGTGTATGTTCCTATCCCATTTGTCATCCTCCAGTTTTAAAATTTTCGCTTTTCGCCTAGACCCAACGCACGGACCCCCGAAACCAGAAAAGCTAAAAGGCTAAAACTTAAGTGCCCATACCATGCGCGACCTTCCCGTTTTAATATTTTCCCCCTCAGACGTCTGGGTGCCGCGTACGGACGCTTTAAAAAAATATGCAAATTTTTTGACGAGAAAGCGATCTCGGGAACCAGACAAGGTAAGAAGTTGAAACTTTGTAGGGATATTCCCTGTGCATGTACTAGCTAAAGATTTCAAATTCAGCCCCCAGGTA